CCGGCATGGCCACCAGCACCCAGATCACCACCACTGTGCAAGCCTTCACCCGATGTGACCCCTCGGGCCACCACATTGTCACCGTCCTGCCACCCACCTCCCAGGTGTGCACCTCGCCTGCCATCCTCCTGCCCCACACCGATCCCTTGGGCTCGCAGGTCTTCGCCCCATCCAGCTCCACCCGGGACCTGCTGTCCCAGCTGGATGAGGCCAAGGGTGGCCGGGAGTGTGTCCCCCTGCCCTTCTGCCGCTGGAGCCTCGCTGATTTCGCCCGGGAGAAATACGCCCCACTCCTTCTGCGAACCCGGACCAAGGTGAGCAGGGGGCAGCCCTGGTGGTGCCACTCAAGATGGGTGGGTGGCACAGGACTCTTCCTGACCCCCTGTTGTCCTCACAGGTGGTAGTGGTGGTGCTGTTCCTGGCGCTGCTAGGGCTGAGCCTCTATGGCACCACCATGGTACACGATGGCCTCTACCTGACAGACATTGTGCCTCGGGACACCAAGGCACACGCCTTCATCTCGGCCCAGTTCAAGTACTTCTCCTTCTACAACATGTTCATTGTCACTAAGGGTGGCTTCCACTACCCGGGTGCCCAGGCTGCCCTGCTGAGTCTGCACCAGGCCTTCAGCACCGTCAAGTACGTGGTGCGGGAGGGCAACCGCGACCTGCCTAAAATGTGGCTCCATTACTTCCAGGACTGGCTGAGAGGTGAGGGACATGCCTCTTCTCCATGACCTCCCCTGTCTGACAGTCCTCTCCTCAGCCTGCATGCTCCCCACTGGCCGGGGAATGCCTTTCCTTGTGTGCAGTGCCCTGGGGAGGATGGTCTCAAGGTGCCCAGCACTGGAAGCTGAGCCTTGGGGTTTCTGTGTGCCCATCCCTCTGGCACCACACTCCCTGGGTCACACGGGGTGGTGTGCAGGGTGTTGTGTCCCCAGAGATGCTTACCCCCCATTCTGCATCCCCAGGGCTCCAGGCCACCTTTGACAGGGACTGGCAGGCCGGGCGCATCACCCATGACAGCTACCGCAACGGCTCCGAGGATGGGGCACTGGCCTACAAGCTCCTCATCCAGACTGGCAACAAGAAGGAGCCCTTCAACTTCAACCAGGTGAGTGGTGGCAGGGCTGGGCTGACTGGGCTGGGATGTCTCTGCCCCAGCTGCCCAGCTCATGCCCGCTCTTGGTCTCTCCTGTAGTTGACCACGCGGCGACTGGTGGACGAGAATGGCATCATCCCCCCCGACACCTTCTACATCTGCCTGACGGTGTGGGCCAGCAACGACCCCCTGGGCTTTGCTGCCTCCCAGGCCAACTTCTACCCCCCACCCCCCGAGTGGATTCATGACAAGTACGACACCACGGGCGAGAACCTGCGAAGTGAGTGAGCATGGGTCCCCTGTGCCCCTGGCATTCTCCTGCAGAATATCCCACTCCCCACACCTTTTTGCCCTGACGGGAAACCCCTCACATCCCTCACCCCATCTGGTAAATGCTTGCTTCCCCATGCTTAACCCTTGTCCTCTTGCATCCCACTCTGAGCATCCCACTGTGCATTCCCTATGCCCTTAGCAACACATGCCTGCTCCATCCCGTGAGCATCTCACTGCAAAGAGTAACCCACTAACTCACAGAAATCCTACAGGCAGAGGTGGTAAACTGCCTTGCTTCCCCATGCTTAACCCTTCTCCTCTTGTCTTCTTGTACCCCACACCCTGAGCATCCCACTGTGCATTCCCTATGCCCTTAGCAACACACGCCTGCTCCATCCCGTGAGCATCTCACTGCAAAGAGTAACCCACTAACGCACAGAAATCCTACAGGCAGAGAAATGCCCTGCCCTCCTCCGTGATCCCAGTCTGTTCCCTACACCCTCCCCAGACCTGTGGTAGCCAGCCAGGCATCAGGCTGCTGTGCTGCCCTCAGGCTGGTGTGACCGTGGTGCTCTCATGCTGCCTGTACACCTGTACTGCCCATACCCTCACACTGCCTGTGATCTCCTCCCCAGTCCCAGCAGCCCAGCCGCTGGAGTTTGCCCAGTTCCCTTTCTACCTGAGCGGGCTGCGTCGCACGTCCGACTTCGTGGAGGCGATCGAGAGCGTTCGGGCCATCTGCCAGGAGGCCGCCCAGCGCCACGGCGTGCTCAGCTACCCCAGCGGCTACCCCTTCCTCTTCTGGGAGCAGTACATCGGCCTGCGGCACTGGTTCCTGCTGGCCATCAGCATCCTGCTGGCCTGCACCTTCCTCGTCTGCGCCTTGCTGCTGCTCAACCCCTGGACCGCCGGCATCATCGTGAGTACGCACCCTGATGCACGGGATGGTCCTGAGGGGTGGCGTCGGGGGCATCCAGCCTTTCTCCCGTCCTGCCGAGGGGTCCTGGGTACCTGCTTCATGGGAGTTGGGTGATGGAGTAGCCAGGGGCACCCTGGGGGGAAGGGATGCCCATATGAGGGTGGCAGTGGGTGGGAGACTCCTGAACGGAGGGATCAGTTATGTCATTGATGAAGAGAACAGGGACCCTGGATACATCCCTGCAGAAGAGTGTGACAGGAACACCCATATGGAGATGGCAGTTGTTGGGGGAGCCACAAGGAGGGATCAGGGAACTTGTTATGACGGGAATGTGTGTAGTTGGCAGGGGTTTGATGACATCCATTCAGAACAGGGTGAGGGCTACCCTCAGAAGATGGGACAGAGGGACTCCCCAAATAGAGGGAAAAGGGTCATTGAGGTGAGACTGCCCTATATGGAGTAGGATCAGGCTTGCCACGGAGAGGGGACAGCCAATCAAAGCCATCTCTCATTGTCCCCACCACCCTCCAGGTCTCCATCCTGGCCATGATTGCTGTGGAATTGTTTGGCATCATGGGGCTGATGGGCATCAAGCTGAGCGCCATCCCTGTGGTCATCCTCATTGCCTCGGTGGGCATCGGTGTGGAGTTCACTGTCCACGTGGCCCTGGTGAGCACAGGCTGATCCCAGTTCCCACTCCCTGGCACCCTCACCCCCTTGGCCATGTGCTAATGGGTGGCCCATCACAGGTGGCACATGGGGACAGCCCCGCCTGACATTTCCATCCCCCTCAGGGCTTCCTGACAGCTGCAGGGAGCAGGAACGTGCGCTCAGCCGCAGCACTGGAGCACACTTTTGCGCCTGTGATGGATGGTGCTGTCTCCACCCTCCTGGGTGTCCTCATGCTGGCTGGCTCCGAGTTTGATTTCATCATGAGGTGAGCACTGAAAAAGGGTAAATCAGCCACGTGCTGCCCTACAAGAGCTTTGGCAGTGGGGGCTGGTGGGTGTGGCAGCCCCGGTCTGGCAGTGGGGATGTGGGGTAGCTGGTCAGGACATCTTGCTGGGGACTCCCATTCCATCTGCCTGGAGGCTGGGGAGACATGGCAGGGCCACGGGCTGTGGCATGAGAAGCCATGTTTGCAATGGGACAGGTTCATGGTGGCTGTGCCTGCTTACCCCATGTGCCTGTGCTCCCCTCAGGTATTTCTTTGCGGTGCTGACCATCCTGACGCTGCTGGGGCTGCTCAACGGGCTGGTGCTGCTGCCCGTGCTGCTCTCTGTCATCGGGCCACCCCCTGAGGTACAAGACCCCTCCATCCCACCTCTCCCTCGTCCTCCCCAGCCCTGTACCCATGTCTCTCCATCCCCCATTGCCCCTCTCCCTGCCCACCTTTCACCCTTTATCCATCTTTGCCTTGTCCAGTCCCAACCTCATCTTGAACCCACCTCAGTCTATCCCTTGCCCTGTACCATCCCTCTTTTACCTCATCCTTTCTCTGACCCATATCCTACTTGCCCCATACCTTGTTCCTGCTTCATTCCACACACAACTTCCCCCATCTCTCCCTGACCATGACCTCCCTGATCCCATCCCTGCTTCACCTGGCATCACCCGCATTCCCATACCTTGTTCCTGCTTTGTTCCACACACAACTTCCCCCATCCCTCCCTGACCCATGACCTCCCTGATCCCATCCCTGCTTCACCTGGCATCACCCGCATCCCCATCCTTGCATCAACCCATACTCCCTACTTCTCCATACTCTGTCCCTGGCTCCTCTGACCTGTCTTCTCTCCCCAGGCATCCCTGGTGGACAATGGCCCCTGCCTACCCCCACCAGAGTCGATACCCCCATGTCTGGGCCCTGGGGGACTGTACGTCCGGCGCGCTCCAGCCTGGCCTGCCACCTTCCCTGAGCCCTCTGACACGGAGCACTACACGGAGAGCGTGGGGCCAGGCAGCCCACGGGGACCCTTCGTTGTGCCCCCTGCCCCAGCACACATCCTCCTGGAGGCTGGCAAGGACCCCAGCTTCCCCCGCATCACTGTGAGTGTCTCTACCCATTGCGGCATTGCCAGCTCCCCTGCATCCCCAGGGACAGGGTCACAGAGCTGCGGGATGGGGGCTGGTGCTGCTGCCAGAGGGATGATCAATATGACAGGGGACCCTCATGCTTTATGCTCCCCCTCCAGGTGCTGAAGCCCTACAAGGACAGCCTGGAGGCTCAGGGGAAGAAAGAGGCTTCTGGCCCTCAGCCTGCAGCCCCGCTGCCCTTTGGGGAGCCGTGCAGCGCGCTGCCCCGAGATCCCCCGCAGCCCGGCCCAGCGGGCACCCGGCCGGCCCCCGCCGCAGCCCTGCCCACCTACAGCACCCACCTGCAGGGTCCTGCCGGCAGCTACACCACCGTCACGGCCACCGCATCGGTGACAGTGGCCCTGCACCCCACACTGCCTGGCTCCTACCCCAGCTTCAGCCCTGAGGGCTTCGCCAGCAGTGAGCGGGACTGCCTGGACGAGCCCGGCACCAGCGGCACCGCTGTGCCCGACACCTTGGAGATGCAGAACATGGGACACCACGGCACAGGTGCCTGGCGCTAGGTGAGCTTGGGGCACCTTGCCCAGGGCTGGTGCATGGCAGCGTGGGGGTGCGAGGTGGGTGTGGAGGGACTCAACTGATCCCCAAATCCCTCTCTCCCTGCAGGTTGCTGGTTCCTGGGCAGAGCATCTCCCCAGCACCCCGTGGGCACAGGAGGGTGCAGAGCGGGGTCACCCGTGTCATGCTGCTAATCGCCAGAGTGGTCTTGGCCGAGGAGGACCAGCCCCCCTGCACCCTGCACCGGGGCTTGGTAGGGCAGGCTGGCACTTCTATGCAAGCTGTGTGCAGGCCAGGCCATGCCCGCGTGTCCCTCACCTGAGGCTGTACCGTTGGTGCCGTGTCCCATCACCCAGGGCTTGGGGTTATCCTGCCCTGGGCTTGTTGCCCCCCAGAAATGGAAGCACTAACTCCCCCCTCTGTTTCTGGAGCTGCTGGCAAGGTGGACTCAGTGCCATGCCAGCTCCCCCTCTGTGGGGTCACTGCCTGCTCCCCATCACCTCCTCCTGGGACCACCCATCCCAGGCCATGAGCTGGGGTACCCCAACAGGGTGCCCTGATGCCCCCTGTTCCGATAAGGGGGCAGCCCCAGAGCCAGCTATGCCCTGGCATGGCATGGGCAAGGCCTAGGGTGGGCACCCCCACCTTTATTTATTGCAAAGGGAAACTATCTATAGAGAGATATATATTTTTAAGCTTATTTTAAAAGATTTATTTCTCAGCCTAAAGCCTCACCCAGCTGCCCAGGGTGCAGGCAGGGAGCGGGCAGACCCTTTGCCCAGTGCAGGGCTGCCCACTGGAGGCAGCAGGAGCCCGGGGGCACAGACCTGGTTCGTGCCCCTACTCCATGGGCAGCTCACCCCTTCCAACATGCTAGTCTGTGCCTCAGTTTCCCCAGTGGCAAGGATTGGAAGGCTAGAGATCATGGATGTGCCACAGTGGAGAAAGGGAGCCTGTTGCTCCACAGCACACAGGCAGGGTTTTGGAAGGGGGACATGCTTGGAGTGGTCCTTGCTGTGCCAAGCCCCCGAGCTGTCCCACGGTCACAGCCCCTGTGTCACGCTTGTGCTCTGTCCAGGGGATGGCACAGGCTTGAGCACGCACAGGACGCTGCACGCTGACGTGGGCTCCCATGGTGCCACCAGGCACATCTTGCTGGGAAACGTTATTTCTTACCATGTCCCCGTGCAACGGGGCTGTCCCTGCAGCCAGCCCCTGTCCCTGTCCCCGTCCCTATCCCGGGCACCGTCCGCGCCGTTACCCAGCACTTTAACTCCAGCGGTGTTTGCTGTGCCTGTGCCCCAGGCCCCCCGACACTGCCGCTCAGCAGGGGTGGCCCTGGGGACCCTGTCCCCGTGCCAGGCGTGGGCACGGCGGGCAGCCCCCCCCAAACACGCCATCTAAGTTATTTATATCAAAGAGAGCAAAGGTTTATTTTTGTAGTTTGTACAGGCGGTAGTGGGGACTGAAGGTTTATTTTTAAAGAGTAAATATATATATTATATATAAATTACCCGCTGTGTCTGGCCCTTTCTCCTGGGGAACACAGCTGGGGGGGGGTGGGTATGTGTGCTTGAGACAGACCCAGCTGTGTGCACACACTCAAGGGGGGGTGCAAGGGGGGCTGCACACTGTGTGTGTGGCACACGGGGGGCTGGCAGTCTGTGCTGCGTGTGTGTGGCCTGCTGGCACGGCTTGGCGGGGGTTGGGAGCCTGTCGGTGCAGCAGTGCGTGCAAAGATGTCCATGTGGCCCCTCCTAGCTGCACCCCCTCCAAGCCCCAGGGTCCCCGTGGCCCAGCGCGGCAGGCGCTGGTGCTCTCTCCCACTGCAGCACAGCCCCGCTGCCGGGGGAGGGCAGCACGGCCCCGGGAAGGTGGAGCTCATCCTGGGTCCCCATCCCGCAGGGAGCTCTGCAGCCCCACCACCCTTGGGTCACTGCCTGGGCAGCCTGCAGTGTCCTTGCACCCATCGCACAGCCCAGCCCTCCCCTATCCCCAGCCCCTGCATCACTTTTGGGGTGACCCAGGCATCCTGCCCTGCCCCTGACGCAGTAACAAATCCTCTTATCGATGATGTTCTTGGCCACGGCAGCACCAGTGCCCAGCCCCAGTGCCTGCCCCGCTGCAGAGTCCCCGGTTGGGCTGGACAAAACTCGCTGCCAGCCCCTACTTGGTGTGTGGCTCAAGGTGACGGTGATGGTCGCGGGGCCGCGTGCCCCGGCGGGGACGGCAGAGGCGGGAGGGCACCCCGCTGCCCCTCCTCAGTGCGTGGGCACGCCAGGCTGCCGCGATGTTCTCCACCTGTGGGGCAGGGGAGATGGATGGGGGCATCAGCAGTGCCACAGTGCGGCCCTCCTCCGGCCATCCCGCAGCACCCTCCAGCCCTGGAGGTCAGTCAGGGCACACTAAGAACAGGCAGCAGCTCACCGGGATGAGGAGGTCCTGCTGGTTGTAGCTCTCCAGTGTCACCAGCTCGCTGGGTGCCAGCAAGGGCAGGCGCAGCTCCCTCACGGGCAGGGCAGCCACCTCTGGCACCGGACGCTCCAGGACAGCCTGTCAGACATCAGGATGTGAGGGATGAGGCTGGTGATGTCCTGGGCACCAGGGGAAGCAGGGCCTAGGGGAGTGACACAGCCTCTGTGTGCATCACAGAGCCCTGGGCTCAGGGACAGGGTGCCTACATTCCCAGCCTGGGCTGGTGGGGGCCCAGGCACCCCTGGGTGCTCCTTGCTGCATGCCACTCACCGAGCTGACGTGAGCCCACTCGCGCACAGCCTGCACCAGGTCCAGCTCATCCGCGGCCAGGCGGTCGCTGCGCAGCACCCGCGCCAGCACCACGTCCGAGAGCTCACGGAAGCCCTGGGTCTGCACCACTGCCTGCCAGCACAGCACAGCACTGGGGTGCTGGAACCAGGACCCCACACAACCACCACCCCCGCCCATCAGACACATCCTGGTGCCATGCCTGCCTGGCACTCCAGCACCCCCCAACCCAAACTGCAATCCTCTGACACTCCAGTATCCCCCAGCCTGGCTCTGCCAGTCACCCAGCATCTCTCCAAACACCCCTCCCAGCCCCCAGGCATCTCATTCTTAGTAGCCCTGCTCCCTTGCCTCATGCAGCATTCTCCATGCCGTGTGCCCCCCATACCCTGGGTACCCCACACCATGCTCCCCCATCACCTGCCACCGTACCGCGGTGCAGCCCTCGATGAAGGCCAGGCAGTGCTGCTGGAGGTCCACCTGCCCATAGGTCACTGCAGCCTGGGAGACAACACAGACACCTGCAAGGGGGTCCAGGGCAGGAGGGACTCCCTGTCAAAGCCCTACAGAAACGTGGGCACTGTCAGGGACACAGGTGAGGCACACATCCCTCTGGTTTGGGTATCACAGTGAGAATGTGGGGAGGAAGGGGCACCAAGGCCCCCTCCTTTCTTGGCCTGCCCAACAGAAAATGTTTTGGTGGGTCAATGCCCACAGTGCTAATGCCTGGGCCCCCACCAGCCCATGTGGCTAATGTGCACAATGGTCACCCAGCCCCACCCTAAGCAGGACACATGATTTTCCACCTCTGTTCAGGCATCTCACCAAGCCCACAGTGGTGCTGTTCTCACAAGGTAACACTGCAGGCACATGAAACCACCAGTCCCCAGTGCTCCTTGTGTGGGCACAGGATCAGCTTAAAGCCCCCACAAGCACCCCATACCCCTGGTGCCAGCCTCAGCCTGACCCATAGCTGCCATCCCCCACTGCAGCAGGAATTTGGGGTTGCTCTCATTTTCTCCCAGCCCTACTGAGCAATGCTGGTCCCAGTGCTAGCACTGCCCATCGGGTTACCAGGAGGGCATGACCCCAATCTCCCCACAGCAGCCCCTGTGTGTGGGGTACTGGGGACCAGCACAGGCAGGGTGAACATCACATCCCCCTCCACCACAGCAGGGGACCAGTGCTGACGTAAGTGGGGAGGGCAGATGAGCTGTTTTCTTCAGGTTTGTTTTGTTCTGGGGTTTTGGGGTTTCTTCTTTTGTTTCCTCTGGGCCAATTTTAGCACCGTTTATGTCACCGTGGTCTGGCACCACATCTGGCTGGGGCACTGTGCTCTGGGGCAGGCACCTCACCCCAAGATTGTTTCAGCTTGTGGGAGATTAAACAAATACTTCTTCTCTGGGGAGCAGCCTTGGTCCCACCAAGTAGCATGGCCAGGACCATTAGGACCTACACAAGGCTATTTTTAGGGGCTTCAACTCTCAGCAGGGATTGTGGGACTGGCTCCCCAAAACTCAGTGCCTCCCAGTTTCATGCAGATGATGACAAAGCCCTGTCACTGTGGAGTTCTGGCCAGTGCTGCTCAGGCTGACAGAGAAGACACTTCTCTGCCAGGATCTGGTGGCCCCACTGTCCCTTGCAGCCCTGGTACAATCCCAGTAGTTTGGGAGTTGGCAGGGCAGATGCTGGGCCAGGGGTGAGAGGGAAATCCTGCCCCACTGTCCAGCAGGAACTGTCTGTTCCTGCCCCAAAATTGTACAAGTTATTTTTAATAAATAAAATGTGACCCTACTGGTGTGACTCTTAAGAACAGAAGGGTCAAGTCTGTTCCTGCCCCAAAATTGTACAAGTTATTTTTAATAAATAAAATGTGACCCTACTGGTGTGACTCTTACCTGCAGAGCCTCGCAGACCTGCTCCACACTCAGCGTGTCCTTGATGAACTTGACACAGAGCTGTAAGGCAGACAGGGAGAGGGTGGGCAGAGTGGGGGACACAACCCTGCCATCCCCCCACACAACTCTCAGCATCCCCTGAGCCCCCAGCACATGGAATGTGGGGCACAGGCACATCCAGCCCCCCAGGATTTCATAAACAATGGCCTGGGGGGTGAGGTCTTGCAGTGTGGATGTGGGCAGCCAGCTTGGCCACTGATGGAGCCAGGGACCAAGACTGATGTGACCAAACCCAGCCAATCTGATAGCCCCAGGTGGGTCCCTTAATCCTGCCTACAGATGCCATCCATGTTCTGCCACAGGGCACAATCCTGGTGCCAGCTTCAGTGCACTGGGTGACCTCAGCTTTGCCCCAGCCCTGCCTGCCAGCTGTGCTCTGGCTGTGACTGCTGGGGGAACAGCATCTCCAGCTGCATCCCCTGCATGGATGATGCAGGTGGGATGCAGCCAGACCAGCATGTTCATCATGAGTGGGACCTCTCCTGCCTATCTCAGCTGCCTACCAGAGTCCCTGGGAAACCCAAGGGGATGTGACATGCAGGGAGGAGCTGTCAGCCGGGGCAGAAGGGCCCTGAGTCATTGACAGGAGGGATATGAGGTCACCCTGCAGCTGGGCACTCTGACATGGTTTCACCAACTGTCCTTGGTTGGCCCCTTTCCCTCCCACCCCTCCTCTATGCAGGTCATTCCCCTCAGGATGCATTTGCTGGGTGGTGGGGTGTGACTCACGACAGGAGCACCAGGTCCCCCTTTTCTGCTACACCCCTTATATCCCTTCCCTGCCCAGACAGCTGTTTGACAGCTCTCTGCCACAGCTGGGCTTTGCTGATCTTGTTCCCACAGGTCCCATCCCACCACTCTGGCAGACAGGAGCCCACGATTCCTCAGCTCCTGAGGTACTTTCCCAGAGCGATGGGGAGGGAGGGGAAGTCTGGGTGTGAGCTGTCAGGTCACGCGTTCAGCCAGGCTGTAATTCAGGAATCAGGCTGATGACGTGGCCTGGCTGCTCTCTCCAACACCGAGCTGCTTCAGCTCCCCAGCCCCTCCTCGTTCAGCTCCCACTCTTCCTCTTTGCTCCCTGCTGCCTTCCCAAAACCTTCCCACCTGAAGCAGCATCACCCTGGCAGCACCACAGCTGAGGTGCTGACTGCTCCCAAGGATCAGGGCTCTCTTTAACTGCATCACCCTGTCAGATGACCAGACAGCACGTGTGGGCAAAGGCACAGGGGCTTTCCTCCTGACCTTTGCTGTGCAGGAGATGTGAAACTCCATGTCCTTCCCCATGACTTCTCGGGATTCCCCTGTGGGATTCCCGGCCGCTGCTGCATCCCCTCAAGGGGGATCCCACTGGAGAGACCTTCCAGGATTGAGAAACAGGGCCAAGCCTGTGTAAATCACCACAGTATTTTCTTAAGAGGCACCCCCAGCCACCAGCCACCCACCAGGGACCATCTTGGAGTGCTTCCCAGCCTGGGAACACTCAGGACCACTGCCCACAGCCCAGATAGCACCGTACCTTGCACAGGTCCTGCAAGCCATACTCCACCGATGAGGTCAGCACCTCCAGTGCCTGCAGGCAAGAGGGACCTTGTGATCATCAGCGTGTGGGGCCATGGACAGACACAGCAGCCCAGGGCAAAGGGCAGGTGTGCTCCAGCTTCTGTGGGAGCTCCTGACTGGGGCATGGGAGATAAGGCTGCTGCATGGAGAAAAATTTACATCTCCTGCTGTGGTGTCCCCACTCTCATCATCCAGGGTATGCACAGCCAGAGGTCCCGAGACTGGGACAAGGTGCTCTGGACACCCCACTGTGCTGGGTTGAGACCCCACACATTCATTACTCTGTTAGCCAGGAGAGAGAATCACACAGACCATCTCCTCCAATTTTGGCACACCAAGAGTTGCAAAGCACCCCCTTCCCCTGCATCCCCTTCTTGTCCCTCCCATTCCATGGTCCCCACCAGCCCCATCCCCACTCACTATGTGGCTGTTGAGGGTGACACTGTTGGTGTAGAGGAACTCAATGACGGCCAGGAAGACCTCAGGCTGCACGTTGCCCAGGATGAAGGGGCCCTGGGGTGGGACGCTGCTGGAGGAGTCCTGGCTGCCCACTGGTGCCTGGCTGAGCATGCCACGGAACACCTGACAGCGGCACGCCAGCACACAGCGGTGTGCAAACACCTTCTGCTGCTCCTGGCCCACCACGAACATCACATCGCTGCGGGGAGAGGGGACCATGAGGGACACGGTGCTGGAAGCAAGGACACGGCCTTCCCTGGGCTGGGACAGGGCCCTGCTGAGCGCCCAGCACAAGGGGCTGTACCCTTCACTTTTAACCCAGGGGTCTGTCCCAGCAGGGGACAGAGGGGACCTTGTTGGTGGCTCTTTCCAGCCATCTGAATGCTGCAGGCAAGGTGAGCATGACAAGTCCTCTGGGAAGCATGGAGAGCCCAGGGTGCTGGCACAGAGAGCCCAGGGTGCTGGCACCGAGCAGGGCAGAGAAAGGCCAAGGACAGCTGGAGAAAGTGACTTTCTCTTTTGGCATAGCAGAGCCAAGGAAAGCTTTGCTGTCACCAGGATGAGCCTCCTTGACTCATGGGAACTGACTCATCATCTCAAGGATGTGAAGTCTCTGGCACAGCTACCAGAAGGGCTGGCACTGGCCCAAAAGGACAGCTTGTGGCACACAGCAGAGCACAGAGACCATCCTGTTGCCCTGATCCCCTATAACCCTCCCCTCCCCAAAATGCTTCCCCAGCTCCATGGCCCAAGGAAAGCGGGGCAAGATCAGGGGAAAGGAAGCAGGCAAAGGAGTCACCAGCCTGAGCACACCTGTAGCTATGGCCCATTTATGCCCCTGTTCCTTCCTCCATCCCAGCAGGCCAATGAGCAGAAGGCATGCCACCCAAACTCTGACTGCCATGAGGACATGCACAAATCCATGGCCTGACCCTCAGAGAGTCCCACAGGGAGGTGTATGTGCCCACCCACGGGGTCATCCCAAGTGTCTATCAGGAGACACAGCTGGGGCAGGACGGGTGCTGTGAGCAGAGCCCAACACATCCTCCATGACTGCTCCTGCAAGGGGGATCATGATAAACTGTTCTGTGATTGAGGTCCACGGGCCAAGAGGGGCAAGCAGGATGCAGACTGTGAGATGTGGAATGCCAGCTATGATGATGGCATGCAAGGTATGGGATGCAGGACACAGGCTGCAGGATGGGTGCAAAATGAAGGCTGCAGGATGTGGGATGCAGAAAAAAGGCTACAGAGTGCAGGCTGTGAGGCACAGGCTACAGCAGAAAGTATGCAGGATGAAGTAGATGGATGCAGAGCACAGATTTCAGGTTGCAGGATGCTGGATAAGGAGTATGGGTTGAAAGATATGAGCAGCAGGATGTAGACTGAGAATGACCAGGCAGTGTCAGCCACTCCTCTACTGCCTGCTTGCTGCTGTGGCTGGGGAGTTTTTATTGGGATTTCTCTTCTGGGTGGTCAAAAATTTCAGCAGGAATGGGGATTTCCTTAGATAGCTCTGGTGTTCTTAGGCTGGCCTCAGCAGGAAGTGGGTGAAGAGAACCACAGCCAGGCAGGACATACCCTGTGGGTGAGGGAGCCAAGGCAGCACCCCCATCTCTGCTCTCTGCTCTGGCACGAGGTGGCAGGAATGCCAAACCCAGGGACAAAACACCAATAAAGCCAGGTGGGAGAGGAACTGAGCAGGGAGGAAGCTGCTCCTGAGGAGCTCAATGTACCCCCATTCCTGACAAGGGCAAGATCCCCAGCCCAGGATTTATCCTGGGAAACCGCCTTGCCCTGTTGGCACCATGCCTGGGGACAGAGGGGGTCTGGGCACACCCGGGAACTTCCCCTCCTCCTGAGAGATGACTGTGGCTGTGCAAGGTGGGCGGCCCTGGACTCCCGTTGGCATGCGGGCGTGTGGGGAGCGCCGCACAAGCCACACCGGCCCCACCAGCTCCCGGGGCCCCCCGAACTGCCTGCGGGCCCCGATGGCCCAGCCGGAGGGCTCGGGGCTGCGGGAAAACAGCACGGAGCCGCGGCTGGGGGCTCAGCAGGGCCCGGGCCTCACCTGAACTGGGGGTTGTTGACCAGGGTGCGCAGGGCCGCGCTGAAGGCGGCCGCGTCGCCCTGCAGCCGCGCCGGGCACGGTCCGGCCATGGGCGGCCTCAGCGAGCGCGGCGGCGGCAGCGGGCCCGAGGATGGCGGCGGCGGATCCGGCGGCTGCCGGGAGGCGGCCAGCCCGGGGAGGCCGCGGGGAGGAAGCCAGCAGGCTGCGCCGTACGGCACGGCCCATTGCTAGGGAAACCCGGCAGGCCGGCAGCGGGAGGGAGGGAGGGAGCGAGGCGTGAAGCACAGCTTGCTGCCAAGGCCGCTCCGGCCGGCGCTCGCCGGATGGGGAAGCAGCGCTGGTCTGCGCCTTGCTGCGAGTGGAATTCCTCGCCGTGTTTCGTGGCTTGGCTCTGGCATGCCTGGCACGGGGACACTGCGGCTGAGCTGGTGGCTTTGCTGCAGAGCAGAGAGATAGGGTGAAGAGAGGCTGGCAGCTGGGATTTTGGAAAAGGCAGTGCATGCACGGAGATCACCCTCATCTCCACCCGCACAGCCCCCAGGGAAAGCATGGCTGAGACCCCAGCAGCAGCACTGGAGCCCGGCAGGGAGATTTGTCTCGTGAAATGGGGGAAGCCTTCTCTCCAGTGATGCTCCAGGCCAGAGCCCTGCAGCTCTCAGGTCTGCTCAGGGTACAGGTGCTTGAAGGCAGAAAAAAGCATCACCAGCCCCATAGAAAGGCTTGGGTAGGAATGGACCATTTAGTTCCAACCCCTCTGCCATGGGCAGGGATGCACCCACTAGATCAACCCTCATAGAAAGGCTGGGAAGGGACCATTCAGTTCCAACCCCTCTACCATGGGCAGGGATGCACCCACTAGATCAACCCACCAGAGCAACCGCTCACCTAAACCCAAACCGAGTGCTGTGCCATTCTCCAGCCCTCGGCTGCCCCAAGCAGCTTAGGATGGGGATTGCCCATGGAGGGATCCACCCTTGTCAGTGGGTGATGCAAGGGAGAGGCAGGAATGGGGCTCGGAGCTGAGGCAGCGCCCCAAGGGAATGGGGTCCAGCTGGCAGTGTGCTTGGCAGCGCTAGTCAGAGGCAGGCTATAAATACCTCCGACGGGAGATAGAAACACAAAAGCCATCCCCACTTTCCTCAAATAGCTTGGCAGCCAGGCCAGACAAAGGCACATTGATGGAGCAGCCGTGTCGTACCAGCTGGGCTGGGCTCCACTGGAGAGAGGAACTCCAGCCAGGGTCGGGAGCCCCCTGCCCTGCTCACGCCCCAGGCATTACAGCAGCAGGGTCCCTGCCACGTGCCAGGGCTGTGCTCCATCCAGCCCCTGGAAGTGTTCAAGACTGGTTGGATAGGGCTCTGAACAATCTGGTCTAGGGGTGGCATCCCTGCCCATTGCCAGTGATTTGGAACTAGATGATCTCTAAGGTCCTTTCCAACACAACCCACTATGTGATTATATGGTTCAATGGGTGCCTTCCCACGCAAACTCTCCCTTGGTGCAGTGGGGCATAAGTAGCCTAAGGATGCAATGTCTAAGCAAAATAAAGCTGTTGCAGGGCTCAGCCACAGTGCAGCCCATAGTCAGAGCACAAAGCAGTGATCACAGTTGCTACTCTCCACCCCCTGCTCTTCTCCTGCACTCCAACACCAGCCTGCATTTTTCAGGGCTGGCAGGGAGCTGAGATTGGAAGGCACATATCTGGAGTAACCACATCCCTGTGCTGACACAGCTGAAAAGGCAGTGAGGGCAGGAGTGAAAGGGAACAGTGCTGCCCAGGGACCAGGAAACAAGGAGTTAAAGGAGCCCTGCCCCAGAACAGCCCTGGAGACCTACAGTGTCATGTAGCAACACTTCACCTTCCAGGAGCACAACAGGTTTGGCCCTGCTCACAGCAACTTGCAAGATAAAGATTGGTCCTGGACAGTGACATCCACCAGACACAAGTCCCCTGGGTTTACTCTGGAAGGACAGGAGTGGAACTTAGGGTAAGTGTGGGATGCAGACTGAACACTGGGGAAAGAGTCACTCACCTGTGCCGGGGGAAGGGCTGGGGATGGGAGCAGAGGGCTGTGTGGAACATACATTACTGCACTGGCTCAGCCCCAGCTGGCTGAGTCTGATGGGCATGGAAGCACTGGAGAAGGGAAGACAGCTGCCGTGGATCTCCCAGCCCCTCTGCATCTTGTCTCACAGAGATGCCAGAAGGCATGGTATTTGCAGAGGGCAGGGAGAAGTGAGGCAAAGAGGCAGGGGAATGGAGAGGCTACAGGACCCCTGCCTCACCTAACACTCAGGTACATCTCCTTTGCAGCCCGCCCCTATGGCTGAGCAGCCCGTCCCGGAGACAGCCCTGCTGGCCCAGGTGCTGGCTGCAGCCAGCACTGAAGCCCCTTCCCTCCGCGCTGGCCGCCGCGGGTCGCAGCCCCTCGCCCCAGCCCGGGGCACCGAGGAGAGCAAAGCACCGCCCCTGCTCTCCCGCCGCAACTCCATCCTCAGCCGCCGCAGCTCCTTCGGGATGCTCCCGGGGAGCAGGCGCCCTTCCATTGGCCCCTGGATGCTCCACAGACGTGTTAGCTTCTCTGGGCTCCCAATTTTCCAACCCATCCTCAAGAGCCGCCTTGAAAACACTTACAGGATGGGGCCAGACAAAGGCTGCAAGTTTGATGCGGAGCGGGTGCAGCGGGTGCTGGAGGGGACCCTGGCCTGCGCCTTGGGGACCACTGCATACAGTGCCCAGGGCAGTGCCCCACTAGCCCAGAGCCTGACTGAGCTGCTGCACAACCAGGCCAAGGAGGTGGTGCCACCCCGCTACAAGCTGGTCTGCCACGTGGTGCTGGGCCAGCAGGGCCAGCAGAGCCTCGTGGTGGCCAGCCGGGCACTATGGGACCCTGAGACTGACAGCTTTGCCTCTGCCACCTTCTCCAACGCCTCCCTCTTTGCTGTGGCCACAGTGTACGGGGTCTACTTCGAGTAGCACATGCCTCTCTGTCCACCCAGTTTTGCAGAGCTGTAGGGAGAGAGCAGCTGAAATAAAGAGGTTTTGTCCGGCTGTGTGTCATACCTTGGGCCAGGGTGTGTGCAGGGAGCAAGATAAGGATGCTCACTCCAGCCTCAGCTCACACCCACGCTGCAGTTCCCAGTACCATGGTTTGCAAAAAGACCCAAGCGGCAGCAAACACAACAAAAGGCTGGATTTCCCTGGAACAGGCAACTGCCCAAGGCTGTTGGAGCAGCCCAGGCTGCTTCCCACAGCACAAGCTGCTCCCAGGCAGATTGATTACACAGATCACCTTCAAAGCAAGCTCACAGAGCTCTTTCCTGGCTTCATGCCCAGCTCATACCCCATCACACAAGATGTCAGTGCAAAGGCCCAGGCAACCCCTCCACCACCTGGGTCAGAGCTCCTGCCTTCTGCAGCTCAGCAGTCAGGAGAGCAGCTGGGTTGGGTCCAAGTGCAGAAAGGACTGGGAATGCATTTGGCAGCAGCAAGGAGAAGTTGAGGCAGCTCCAAGGCTCCACCAGGATAAGCAAGAGCTAACTCTGCCCTTTGTGCCAGTCCCATGAAAGCAGTGGAGGTACCACATGGGCTCCTCACAGCCATCCTGCCTCCCTGACCTTATCCCCCAGCAGCAGTCAGTGCCAAGAAGGGTCATCCCTGACAGGCAGAAGCAGCTCTGGAGCAAGAATGATGCTGAAGCCCTTTTGTGACTCCAGCTTCAAACACAGAGGACATAGTTTGCCCTTACACAAATAAGTTTTTATTGAGGTGAGTCTAGGAGAGGGGAACTGCACATGGACAGACCAACAGGAAAATAAATAATTCCATATAAATAAGATACATAAATAGTCCCACATGGCAGAGACTGCCTTGAAATAAGAAACAACCCTGGGTCCCAACAAAATGAGGGCTTCTCCAGGCAAGTCCTCAGATCCCATCCCCCACCCTTTATCAAACCTCAGGTTGTACCAGACAATTCACAATTTGGGAAGAGACCAGGCACAGTTAGGCCCAGCACAGCTCCCTCCTTAGTGTAACAGTTGTGGAGTGGCACACACCAGCCCACAGAGCCCCTGGCAGGGCAGGCAGCACCCTTCACCCCTGCCCACTCCTGGGAAGGGTTTTCCAATCCCACAGCACCCAAAGTTTGAGATCGTGGCTGTGGCAGCCACCTCCAGGCCATGCAGAGGGTCTGTGCAACTGATGCATCAGCTGGGGCAGGGGAGCCTGAGCCTCCACCACAAGTAGTTGCCAGCCCCAAACAAGGCCCAGCCAGCCCCAGACCTGGCTGCAGGACACTCACCCACCACCACCTCCTGTAACACCCCAGTCCATTCCATCAAGACCAGCACCACCAGAGCAGGAGCTGCCAGTGGGAAGACAGTGATTGCCCAGAGCCAGGGAGCAGCAAGGATATCCAGACCTGCTGCTGTAACCACATCCACATGTCTTAGTCCAGAGTCCAGCTGAGCACCAGGATACACATGTCCATGGGGATAGCCAGCACCACATCATCCCTCCCATCCCATGGGAGGGCAGGGGGAGACCTCCAAGTCCAGACAGGGTCCCCCAAGGTCCCAGGCTAGGCCTCAGCCCATTCTTGGAGAAGCTTGAGGATGTATCTGAGGCGGTGGTGGAGCTCAGGAGAGCAGCCCAGCTCCTGGATGCTGCACAGCTTGTAAGTGTAAGAGTTGCGCTCCCGGTTGATGTAGGTGACAAGGCAGGAGTGGTCAGGCTTGCTAATGATCACCTTGGTGTGGTCGTTGTAGAAATTCACCTAGGAGACAGGTTGGGCTTGGTTTAAGCCATGCTTCCCACAGCATGTTGGGAGCCAGGATGGAGCCACATTTCCTGCCTCAACAAGTTCCTCCTCCCCAACCTGCCTGGGAGCATCCCTGCCCATGCCCCATGGCAGGAATGAGCCACCCAAGGGACTCCCCTAGAGACAGAATGCTCCCCTGACAGAAGCATCCAGCTGAAGCGCTATGTCTCTCCATGGGCTGGGGAAGCTGCAACCAGCAGCTCCAGGCACTGGAGCAGCATCCTGCACCCACAGCTGTTTTCACAGCTGGATTTCCCATTTGGGCTGTGGCAGACAAGATCCAACACAGAGCAGAAGACCCCCATCTGGCCTCCTTTTCACAAGGGTCTGGGCATTTCCACTGTGCCCACACGTACCTGGAGGGTGCCACTGCTGAACAGCATGAGCAAGGCTTGGTCAGTCTTCACCCACTGCAGGAGGAGCAGGGCTGGCTGCCCAAGGTCATCTATGCTGGGCAAGTCACCTCCCTTTGAGAGAAAGGTCTGCATAAGCCACTGGTCACACACATGGGAGCACTTCCAGCAGCACACACAACACCAAAGCTGGGTACCCCTCAGTGGAGTCCCCACTCCCAGGACACAACCCTGTGTGTCCACCTGGCCACAGCTGCAAGCAGGGAGTCCAGCCAGCTCAAGTGGTGTGGTCAAAGCATGACACAGAGTGCAGCCCTGGGCCCCAGCACTCACCTTCATGAGATGCTGCTCCATGTAGGACGCGAAGTAGCGCAAGACACTCATCTGTCCCTGCAGCTGCTCGGGGATGGCAGACACAGAGAACACCAGGTGCTTGCTGTTGGTCGGGTTGTAATGTACAGTCCTGGAGGGAGCAGAGCAAGAGTTTTGGGGATGTCCACCCTGGTATGGACTCCCCTTCCCACCCAAGGGGCTCCCCTAGAGACAGATCAGCCCCATTCTCACGCTCACCTGTGGTTGGGGGAAAGTGTCATGTGCGTGCCATTGTTGAAGAGGACCCCAATGCTGCGGTTGGAGAGCTGGTAGCCAAAGCCATACTTGTTGGAATAATCCACCCACTTGCTCACCCAGACAAAGTGCTCGTGGCGGGCCAGGGAAGCTGGGTTTTTCTCCGCTGTTGGAGAAGAGAGGAGGTGAGCAGTGCAGCCAGCCAGCCCCTGTCCATCTCACCTCCCCAGGGGGAACAGAGCCCTACAGCAGGCTCTGGCACCTTTTAGGGTGCTATTTGTACCCCAAGTAGCAGCCATGCCTTCATCCCAGGGGGAAAGGGATGCACAGCCCCCTATCCCAGAGCAGTCCAACCAGTTTACCTGGAGGCATGGAGGAGAGGCAGGTCCTCAGGAGCCGGACAGCTGACTCGATGATGGCAGAGGCGGTGACGCAATCTTCAAAGGCTGCGGGGAGAAGATGACAGGCTGAGTCAGCCGGCCCCCTATCAGCCCAGGCGTGACAGGAAGCTTGGGGCAGGCTGGGGTGGCTGGGACAGGTATTGCTCACCTTCACAGCTGCTGGCCATTGTTCCCCGGATGGAGGGGGATGCAGACTTGTGAGATGTCTCCTCCACCACTGTCTCCACAGGGCTGGAGCTGGCACTGCGGCACGACACAGGGGTGGCCTGCGGAGAGACCTGGCTTTAGCATGGTCTGCCTGCCCTTCTGCCAAAGGGCGTGCATGGCCTCGGAGATGTTCTCACCTCATTCCCTTCCACGGTTTTATAGCTCATCTGTCGACAGATTGAGGTCTTCATCAGCCCAGTCACCAGCTTGGAGATGTCATCCCTGTCCTCTGAAGAGCCCTTCTTGGCTGAGGAGAGAGCAAGAGATGAGTACACTGCTGAGCATAGAGGCTGGGGACATCCAGGCCACCCCTCCCAGTAGCTCAGCTCTCCCTTGTCTATTCCCATGCCCATGGAGGGTGTCAGACAGCTGTCTCCCACTTTCACTTCCCAGTTCTCATGCAACACAGGGCTTCCAGGAGGAAGTGCCCCATGGGTTGTGGCACAGTATCCGCTCTCCAGGCACACACCCATGCCAGGCCACCAGCACAAGAAGGGCAGGGGCACACCCAGCTTGTGCCTGGGGGGGGTCCAGAGAGATCCATCAGGGGTCTCTCCAGAAAACAGGATCCACTTCTTCCTGAAGGAAGTCACCCAGAGGCTTCTTGGCAATGCACAAACTTACCCTTGGGTTTCTTCTTCCCAAAGAGTGTCTTGGTGACTTTAGCAAACAAGGTCTTTGCAGGATTTGGGGGACTCAGCTCTGGAGCCATCACGCAGCTGCTGGGAGGGAGTTTCTCAGGCGTGTAGCCCTGCAGAGAGGTCAGGGGAGAGGTTTGGTTTCCATAGGCCACATGCTCCAGGCAGAGCAGCTGCCCCGGGCTGACCACAGTCATTCACATCCCTCCTGACAGCCAGCTTGTGTTTCCGTCAAGCCTCGGAACCACGACTGGCATCAGCACAGGAAACAACCCCTGCTATAGCAACAAGGCAGCAGAAGCACACCAGATCCCTCAATTCCTCTGGCTGGCATTTGGGCAGGACACCGGCTGCTTCCTTTGAAGGAAGGACATACCCTTCATACAGGACAAGGGCAGCACCCTGCACAGCCCAAATAATCTCATCCCACCTGGAGAAGGGTCTCTTGACCCAGGCCCCTACCCACCCACCTTGAAGAACTCGTGGTCCAAAATCTCATCAAGGGTGAGGCGGTCCTGGGGGTTGCGTCTGAGGATGCCAGTGATGAGGTGCTTGGCAGGCAGGGAGAGGAAGACAGGGAGGGTGTATTCCACTTGCTTGATACACCTGTAGGTCTCCTTGAGGTCAGAGGTCTCAAAGGGAGGGTTCCCACACAGCAGGGTGTACCTGGGAGGGAACATGCATGCCACTGTCAGATCCCCACCAGGCTTGTGACTCAGCAGCACTTAAAGCAAGGAAGTTATTGGCATTTGGCTGGCCACACCTGGCTGAGAGCAGCACTTCCAGCCCCGACAGCCACGCTCACATCCGGCCATGCTTCCTCCTAGCAACTGTTTAGAGCAACAGGCAAGGAGCCTGGAGGAAGGACAAAGAGCTGGCAGGCGAAGGCCCCCCGCTGCTCCCACCCGCGTGGCCACCAGGGTGGAAAATGGAGCAGGAAGCTCGCAGGCAGCGGCCGGGCGAGGGGCTGGATGTGCCGAAAGAGCGATCGCTCCCTGAGCAAACAGCGCGGCAGCCACAG